CTGCAGAAGGCGGTGCTCCTCGATACCGCCCGCATCGTCCGGCGGTTTCTTTCCCTTTCCCCCTAAACCTCGGCCGTTTGGTCTCCCCTGCCGAGGGCATCCATCTGGTTGGGTTTTTATTTATTTATGTATTTTTATTTGTTAAAACTATTTTCAGAGTGTGATCCCAGAATTAATTTGCGTAGGTATATATGTATATTTATATGTGTGTGTGTATGTATGTTTATATGTATATATACAATTTTTTTAGCCCTTTCTATTTGGATTCCGCCACCGCCGCACCTTGTTTGTCTATCTTTGTTTAGACTAACGGTTGACTGGGAGATGAATGGTTGGCTGCTATGTAGCGAGTGTAGAGAACCGGAGATTTTTTTTTTACTTGAAATGAGGCATTCCATCTCCGTACTCAGGGATGATAACACATCTGCATTTTGGTCCTCGATCGAAGATAGATTTATGTATCTTAAAGTGGTGGAATAAAACGTTTAATGAAATATGGTAACAGCTTTTTTTTAAATACAATCAAAAAATAATTTAAATATTTAATATATTTCTAACATAGGGCTGCATTAAATGCGAATATCATAACGAAAAAGGGGAATTACTTAAAACATTCTACAAACCTGGAGATATTCTAGCATTTACTTCGGCATTTTTTGGAATACCGTCACTAAAAACTTACAGTGCAAACACTGATTGCGAGGTAATTTTAAATTGTTCATTTGTAAGAAGTCCTTTCCTATATTTAACCAATAAAAGCTTAACATTTGATGCGGTAAAATTGCATCTTAGGTTCTATTTATCAATATAACCGAATTCTTCAATGTTACGAAACGTTACCCAGCAGAGCACGCGCGTTACGAGGATTGTTTAAATAAATTTAAACCAGGATTTGAGAAACTCATTCAGAATCATATGAAGAAACATAGAGATGTAAGTGTTTCATATGAAAATTCATATATCAATGAAAATTAAATAATCTTCATTCAATCATTCAATCCATTATATAAAAGCTTTTAGAAAAATTTACTTCGCAAATATCCGCGTTATAAAATAAAATGATGTGTCTTACCTAGTATGAAAAGCACCTCTAGATAGAGTCTATATCACCTGAGGATGCCTCGTGTAGAGGCGAAACACGTGTCGTATTATCGTCAGTGGTGTGTCTTGCCTAGTGTAGTGGTGTTGAGAGTAGCGGTGCTGGGATTAGTGGTGACGGGGATAGTGCACGCAATTGAGGGAGGGCGGGAGGTGCTCTTCATACTAGGTAAGACACATCATTTTATTTTATAACGCGGATATTTGCGAAGTAAATTTTTCTAAAAGCTTTTATATAATGGATTTCCGAAAAGTAACGCCTGATTCTATTAATTATCTTCATAATCGTTATCATTACAGTCCACTACTGAACAAAAGGCCTTACCGTAGGTAAACAGCGGCCTCAGGTGGATATATTTGCCAAAGTTGCCACGCTGGGCAGGGTTGGCTTCCACAATTTTTGGTACAGATTTTATTAGGAAGTCGCTACTGCTCTTCTCCTAGCGTGTTTTCCTCTGTTGCCTCTTACGACACCCACGGGACGATTTGCGGAGGTAGATATTTTCTTGGTACTCATTAAACGATAATTACATATATAAGACTACCGCAACGCTTAATGATGTTATAATACCGTTTGATAATGTCACAAGCAGGTGATATTAAACATATATATATATATATATAGCAAACATATATATGTAGGATCTTTAGTGTGTTTTTAATGAACTTCTTGCCTTAGCTAAAAGTAAAACAATTATTTTAATTTTGACCCAATTTATCTTTCTTTTTTAATATATTTGAATTTACAGTACCAGAAAAAAATTCGTCAGCGAATTTTTCATTCTAGACTTTCAACAGTGGAGAGACAGCGGATAAATCTAGCGGATAGTGCAAGAAGTTTTGAATATTTAACATATAGCAATATAGCACCTGATTCGAAGTTAGCATATTTAATTATCTATTAGATACTATTTTTTGTACTAGATTGTACAATCTGTGTGTATTGCCAGTGATGACATATGGATCTGAGACGTGGTCCTTTAATACTGTCGGCATGAGGAAGCTTAAGGTTGCTCAACAAGTATTGGAGATGGATATGCTCGGAGTTTTTCTCCGGGACTATCTTAGCAATTAGGATATCCGCAGTAGAACTAGAGTAAATGGCGTATAGCCCAGCGCACCATATAGCTCGAAACAGAAACAGAAACTTTTTTATTCAATATAGATTATAAATAATACTTACTGAAAGTCTCTATTTGTTTAATTACCACTGATTCGAAAAAAACCTCTGCCTTGGGAAGAACCAGCAAGAAACCCAGCAAACCAAAAACTGACAACCGATAGGGAAGAAAGATTCTCGAGAGTCAGCCTCACACCGGTAAGCAAAGTGTAAGGAATGGGGGCCCCATTAGATGGAGTATCAACCTGGTAAGAGATGCAGGAAGTCGATGGATGTAGGTGACTCAGGACCACGGTTTACTGAGTTTCTTTCGGAGGCCTATCTTTAGCAGTGAACTTGTGAAGTATTTATTAGCGATACTCGATTACTTTACTAAAACTATGTGAGATAACTAACCGTTGGTGTTTACTTTTGAGTTATACGAAACGGTGATGATTTTTAAGACGTTTTTATTGAAAACGATTATAAGACAGATTAAAACTATCAAATTTCTACTAATCAAATTCTCATCCCTCCATGGGTTAACTGGTAGAGAATGCCTCAAGGCATTAAGTCCGCCTTTTGTATTCATTTGTTTTAAATAAATAAATAAAACTAGACTACACTGATTCATATGAAAAAGAAATAAATTTTTAGATTACTTTATAAATTTTACGATATGATTTTGCCTGGTAGGTGATAAAACTAGTAACTACTAAATATCTTTAGTAACAATAGTTCTTGTAACGAACACAACCTGGAGATTTTATATAAACAGATATTCTTCTAGACAGATTCCCAAATTTTACTTTAGATCATTTCTCATCACATTAGCGTGTGATTGTTTGACCACATCTGGTGTTCGCAACTCCACGTCTAAGCGCGTATTTTGCGTTTGTGGCAGTTAATAAGCATCAGCTTATAAACATTCCTCATATAAAGACACAAGATTATCCGGGCATTTCGGTTATTCCTCTATTATTTTACATATGGGACAAGATGCGTGATAAATCTTTTACGCCAAAAATATACCACAAAAATCAAAACGTTATTTATTCCAAATTAAAATGAGTTTATGGTTTACATTTTGACATTGACATCGGTAATAAGAGGTGACAAGGGAAAATAAACCAGGAGAGGAGTAGCAGCGTCCTCTTAATAACAATAAAAAAGTAGAAAGACTGTGATTCCTAACCCGCTTGTCAGGCGTGGCAACAAAAATATCCCTCCTATGAGGAAATCTATGAGGAATGCCTGTGTTCAATAATGGACTTTTGATACGCTGTAACGGAGGTTGCATACTAATGGCCCTTATTTGTCTTACAGATTCATGCGCTATTGGATGCTTCTTAGAGCAGTGATTGTATGTGTATCAATAATTTCTGCAGCATTACAAGGTACCTGCTTAAATTGATTAATAAACATGTAATATTATAACTTTAGACATGCATACGTTGGTCCGTACCGACAAAGCATATAAGTTGAATTGGTAATGCTCCGGTTATACATATAGCTCGAAGAACTGAAAGGGATCAGAAAAAAAGGCAGCCCAATGTCTATAGTGGCCGCTTCATATCGGTAAGCGAAGTGGGTGCCTGCCACTCCATTAGAGATGGAGTGATGACCTAGGAAGATGTGTAGAAAGTTATTTGATGCAGTTGGCTCCGAACCTTGTTTTGTGCCATTAGTTGAGCGAGGCCTGTTTTGTGTAGTGGACTTGTGAAAAGCTGTAATAACGATGGTGAGATTCGCATTAGGTTTCTTATAGTCTATAAGTCAGTCCACAGGCAAGAAAGTGCTGACTTAATATTGCTATCGGATTTTTTTAAATCTCTTTTATTTCATTAAGCATTTAACAATTTGCATAAGGTAGGGAGCGTCTTTTAAGTACCTTAAGGCGCTTGTGTCAGAGACTCCCGCTCTTCCATAGTCATACAAAACTTTTTAGAAACATAAGATTAACATAGAATTAACTATTTTCAATCTATTTCAGCGCTTACTAGTCAGAAAAAAGGTATAAATAACTTTTAAAATAGTAAATCCCGATTTCTTAGTTTCTAAGATAATTATGGTAACGGTTAACATGGTAATATTATGTCGTAATATTGTGACGTGATTTTGTTATGGATCCTATCATCATATCTGGATTTCTGGTGTTTGCCGTTATCAATTTAGCTTACTGATGATTTGCATTAAATTACACTGGCTCTGCAGCCTTAGATAATTAGGCTGTTATCATTGTAAATATATTTCCATTTTAATTGTTTAATATCTGTAAAGAGTTTCCCATATTCACCACGATATTGTTCAGGCGGATCGGTGAGCATAGAGTTGAGACGCTCAAGTAACTTTGCTCCCAGTCCGAGGGTTGTAGATTCATGGTTATTGGATGGTTTTCCACCATAATTCAGTCATTAGAATTTTGATTAAGAGATGACAATCATGAGGGTGTGACACACGTGCATGTGAAGTTGGCGTTTTGAGAGATCAATTTTACCTTACATCCCATGCCTTGAGTTTATGATTGAGTGCTTTAGTGAATCGGGAATCATTGACTATGTTTATGCTTTCTAATCATTATCACCGAATAATACTGTTACAAGAAATATTTTAATCTTATAAATCTAGCTAGATTAAAAAGGTATAATACATTCGTTATGTAACTATATGATCGGCCAAATAAAAGAGAGACTTTTTTTCAAATTATTTAAATTAAGATTTGTAGTAAATCATATACCATGTTAATTTATGTAGTAATATATGCTTGATTTCTTTTTAAATTATTTGTTCTTTATTCTGTTTTATGCCAGGTGGAAGTGGTGCATACTGGAGGTGGCCACTGATGATAATAAGTGCATTTTGTGACTGTATATCTATCGTCGATATAGTGTTAAAGATGTTCGTAAGTTAAAAGATTTTTGATTTCTTATATTTACGCGAAGACTACACATTAAATGAAACTAATTTTTACGGATTTTATCGCTTTTAATTAAACTTTTTAACTCCCGACGTTTCGGGTGCTTTACAACACCCATGGTCACGGGGGGACTGAGGTGTTTGACGTCCCCATGTCATAGTTAACCCGGATACCTTCAGTGTACCTGTCAGTAAAAATGGTCTAAGGTTTACCATACGTGAGGATTAAGGCAAACAGTTCCATAGAGACGTCGTGTCTGGTCCAGGCCCATGTCTGGCTTAGGCCATTCCTGCTTCTACGGACTGAAGAAGAGATGAAAATGAATGATGAGGAGGGTAGAACACTACCTAGTTTTTATTACAAAAAACATTTGTAACCTTCTTATTGCTTAAAAAAATGTCATACGTTGATTTTTATTTAACTTTTTTCAGATGCCCTATTATGATAAACGAGGTCTACTTATTACGGATATAAGAGCTTGTATAATACACTATCTCGTCCGAGGCTTTTTAATGGACGTGATAGGAGTAACGCCATTTTACGAATTATTCATGGTATATTTAAATAAAGAAATTGACGACAACGATGTTCTACTCATTAATACGTTAAGCAAATTTGCTCATTTGTATTTAGTAGTCGGATACTTTGATTATTTGGCTGATACTCCAACAGTGAACAAAGCATTGATTATGGTCTGTATTCGCTGCTTTTACATACCTACTTTAGTTGGCAAACTTCAAAAATTAGTGTTATATTTATGTTGTTTAGTTTTAAATTAATTTATAATTAATGTTTAAAGATTAGAAAAATTACTTGTAAGAGACGGTAGAAAATAATTATACATTTGTACCAATGGATCGACGCTACCTCGCCTATCAATAAGGACCTTGCTTTCATATAATACCAGTGTAAAATAACAGTACGAGTGCTGTATGCTCCTGTTTCGTGTGGTTGAGTGACGAGAAGCGGTGAAGACCTATTGTAGGAGTATGTGAAAAATGTCAGCGTGAAAATGTGAACAGGCGCACCATATGCACGCTGGGGTACACCAACCAATCAATATAGAGACCTTGTTATGGGTTGGCCAGTAGTACATAAACGGTTATGTACATTTTTATAACTACCGCTTAAATGAAACAAACGTAATTAATAATATGTCTTTATGACGGCTCCGTGGCGCAGTGGCTTAGCAAAGAGTTGTTGCGCTGGGGACTGCGGTTTCGAATCCTGCACGGAACAAGTATTTGTATGGCCTACAAATAATTTTTCCGAGTCTGGATGTTTGTCCTAGTGCAATTTATGTTTATTTTTTATTTTTTTTTATAGGATAAGGGTGACAAACGAGCACACAGTCCACCTGATGGTAAGTGGTTGCTGCGGCCCATAGACATCTACATCTATCCTCTGTTACAAATCAAAATGTAGATGCGTTGTCACCCGTAAGGACTAAGATGGAATGCCTCATTTCCAGTAAAAAGGGCCTCCGGCCACCTGCACTCACCAAGCGAAACGCAGAGGTAAACCTCTACTTCACGCTGGTTTTCTGTGAGGTCGTGGTACTACCCCGGTTCAAGCCGGCCCATCCGTGCGACAGCAAAAGTTGCCGCGTGGCTCTACCACTGTTGTAAAATTGTCCTAACGTTTCTTGTAGTCGTGTACATAACAAATAGTTTTTACAGTCCATTTTAAATGTGCGCAGTCATTTTTTTCATTTGAAATTCAAATTCTTATAAGGAGCGAAACCACACCACGCAAGGAACAAACAACAACGTTCTTTTAAAAAAAACATTTTTTATTCATCAGATATTAAAATGGGAAGTTATTTCTATACTCCTAATGTGTGCTGCTAGTCACTATTTCGTCAGGAAATGTATCTATTTTACTTGGGATAGCTCGGGCACATTTACTAATGCTACGCTCATTAGCAAGTGTTGGCTTCCGACTTTCAGTGATATTAATGGAGACCAGCTCACTCAAGAAAACATTCGCATGGTTAGTTACATCTATTGAAACAATACAAACTGTAGAAGACGATAATTTTGTATGATCATATTAAAAGCATATTTTAGCTGTCAACTTCTGTGGTCTGACGATTTCGTTGTCATCACCTTTCTAATGTTTGCCGTAATCGTAATAAATTAAAGGATTGTATCAAAACATGGATATCCAATTTGTAATAATGATATCTATATTATTAGATTCTTTAGAATATAATAATCTTGTTCTTATTCATGAATTCGTAGAATTTAACTGCTGGACATAAGCCTTTCCACTTAAGTGGGATTTCCATAATTGCTAGATTTTTTAAACTGGCATAGATATTTCTGCGATTGAATTATCCTTTATTAACTCCATGACACTTCACGCTGGCTTTTATTTATCAACAGATCTTTGCGCAAAGCTTAAGTTTTGCTCAAAGTGGTCTCATGCGAATTGATTTGGGACTGTTTAAAATAAGTCGGGATGATATCAGCACTGCTTTGGTTCTGCTATCTCTTGGATGTTCTTTCTGGTAAATTTTTTATTACTTTTATAGTTCAAGCTATTAATGTTAGACTTTTAAGATTACGTGGCTTAGCGTTCAGGTTTATTCTACTTCATCAACACCAAAGGGTCCAATGCTGAACATGTGCCTCTATTGTATTGGGGGTTTATCTTAAACGTCACCTTGGTGGCAACCGACTTGGCTAGTTTAACATGGAATATGTTCATAATCTTACATAGCAAATATAATTGTAGATGTACTTGTGTAAAAATGTATTGTGCCTGGGGTGGTAACAGCGTTTACCTATTTCTAGCCTATAGTAGTGCTTGCACTGCTATGTTCTACTACAAAAGGTAACATACCCTTGATAGCCAAGAAAATAATGCATTCCATCTTAGTCCTCAGAAGTGAAGTTGGCTGCAGTAACCACTTACTATTAAGTGGACGGAAAGTTCGTTTGTCACTTCGATTTCATAAAAAATAATATTTTATTTGTAATGTGGTATAAACCTTATAGTGATTTGAAGTTTTAACAGTGTACCATTTTTTATTAATATTCTTTTACAGGTGCGTCTTATGTTACCGTCTCACGCTACTAGTTTTAAACACTCGCAGTAATACGCTTTTTCAACATGGCGTATTTCAACTTAAAAGATTTCTTGAGGCAGAAAGAATTGAAAAGCATATAATTAATTCTGCTCAGAGACATTTTAAGTATGTGTGGCAAAGGTAAAAAAATAAATGAATTATTGGAAATTAAAATTATTTATTTCTATATATCAAAACTGATAACTACCTGGGATTGGCTTTTTTAGGACTAAAGGAATAAATATACAGCAATTGATGAATGAACGCATTAGTGTCGTTTTTAGACAGGATTTGAATTATTATTTTTTTAAAAAGTAAGTATTTCTCCTTGACCATTTATAATATTATTTTCCACTTATGCTGGTAAAGGTTTTAAATTTTACGCAATATGCATCTCTGCATTGGTAATACATAGTATAGTATGATTTTTTACCATCATCAATATTTTAGCTCGGATGCAGCACACCTTGAATTTTGTTCTCTCGCAAAATTGAATTTATATATTGGAGATTTATTAATATGAACGTAATATCTATTATGTTACATATATATTTTAATGGCAGAAATGCAATCCCTAGATTTGGGATTCACTTGCAGATATTTTCTAGTAAATATTATTTATTTATATATGTATATGAATTATATACATTTCATATATATGTGTATATTTTATGTATGTGTTGCATGTATATATTTGAACTGAATAATATCATGACAACTTAACTGCCCAAACTCACTTTCTGTTCTACCCAAGGTTAGCTGGTAGAGAATGCCACATAGCATTAAGCTCGCCTTTTGTACAAATATTTGGTGCAAAAAAGAATAAATAAATAAATATAATCTGAAAAAAAAATCAAATCCAAGAAGTAAAAACAATTACTTTATCCACAAGTCAGATCGCTAAAATGATCGTCTTTTTAGTTTCTAAAGCTTTAGGTGAAATTTCTTTTTAGTAGTAGATAAATTGAAATTATTAAATTTTACCATAGATTATCCATAGGGTTATTGACTTAAATACCACGTATTGATGTAGAAATCCTACAAAAGTTTTCACTTAATGTTAAAAACATCATCAAACAACATATCCTTATATAATTTTATTAATAAGTACGAATGTGCCTGGTATTTGAAAGGGACGAAGAGAGAACGAAGTGTGAAATATGGGTAAATCAGGAATGTCTAGAACAGGTAAATGAAATTGTATACTTGGGGAGTGCTTTTAGCCGGGATGGAAGATGTGATTTAGATGTGGACAGGCGTGTCGCTGCCGGGAACAAAGTCAATGGTGCCCTGACTGCGGTAGTCAAAAGGCAAGGCGTAGCGAAGAGTGCACGCCTTGCAATACATAACGCAGTGTTGGTACCGACTTTGTTATATGGCAGCGAAACCTGGGTATGCCAGAAGAAGCATAAAAGTAAGTTGAATGCAGTGGAGATGCGATCTCTTCGTAAAATGTGCGGCGTTACTATGGCCGACCGAAAGCGAAACGAAGAGATTCGCAATATGTCAGGTTTGAAAGATGACCTTATCACAAAAATTGATAAGGGCGTGCTTCGGTGATTTGGGTACGTTGAGCGAATGAGTGAAGACCGAATGGTGAAGAAAATATATAGCGCGAAAGTTAATATTAAAAGGTGTCGAGGTAGACCGAGACTAACTTTCGAAGACCATGTGAGCAAATTGCTCGAAGAGGGTAGGGTCAAGAGTACTCGGATACCTAGACGTGCATGCATGAAGAAGATAATGAATCTGAAAGAAGCGAAAGAGGTTTGTAAGGATCGTGACACTTGGCGATCTGTTCTCTCTGGCTACCCCGTCAGGGATTGTGCGTGAAGATAAGTAAGTAAGTAAAGTAAGAATGTGCCTGAAATAAAATGAACTCAGTACTAGTCGCATGAATTTGGATATATTTATATCAACGGACAAGAAATGTAAAGCCTACCGAAATAAGGCACTGACTATATTTTCAAATAAAAAAACTAGATTTATTAATATTTAGTAATTTAATATTGTAAGAGCCATACAAAACACTTTTATCATTACATCGATAAGAAAACATGTTCTACTTATTCTGATTCAATTTTGGATAAAGTATCATTAATGACTAATCTATAGATACAACACTATTAAATTGCTATTTTTATCATTTTTTGTCTATGTCTGTTTTGTATGTTTAAATAAATAATAAAGATAATATTAGCCTTTGTTTTAAAAGTATTTAATTTTTTTTTAAATACACGCAAAAAACCACTAATCGAGTTACAATTATATCAGAACACTCGCAGCCCTCAACACATTATTACAAGGAGGCGAACAACTAGAGAGACAACTGGCAACCGCCTCCGTTCAGATGTATTTCTTACCAGGTCAAGAAATTGTAAGGGAGATGGACTTAGCTCCATGGGTGTATGTTGTCCATCGCGGCAGGATTGCTGTTAAACGAGAGGGTGAAAATTTGGCAATTTTAACGAAGGTACATTTTTTAATTAGACTATTTTAAAATTACATTGTATTTAGCTATAGGATTAATACGTCTTTCCATTAAATTTCCTACGTTTTTCGACAGGCAGTAAAACAAGGTCGCAGTCCTTATATATATATTATATATTAATTTGTAAATGAGCATTAATGTAAATGGGTACCACAATCTAAGCACAAATGCTGTCAACTCCAAAAATTCCATAATCATTGGTACGTTCACATTTAACGGGATTTAGGTGGAATATTTTGTAGCTTTTCATCTCTTTTATCTTCTTTCATTTTCATACTAGTCGCTTACCAATCAAATTGGAACATCACATTGAGTTCATTGCTCATTTGCTTTTGTCGTCCGTGATTTTTGAAAATCGGGTCTAGTAGAATAATTTAATGACTAACCTTTATGATAATAATGATGAATTTTTAAAGATGATGTGATTGATCTCTATTCTTATACATTGGAATAATTATCTACCGTACCTGAAAATATTAGATTGTTACAGATTGACTTACTTGTTGTAAGTAAATTACTTGTTATTGGAGACCTAGATAATAAATAAATTAATAAAGTTATGTAAACTTAAGAAATAATTTGTAAGTTTTCCGAACTTAACGGTGCTATTTATTATGGCTCTTTGTCTCCAAAGAAGTCCGTCTGAGTTGGTACCACCTTCATAACTATTTCCACCTCTAAGCAACAATGCACTCACTGCTGAGAATATTTTATAATATAATATAATACAGCCTTTGAGGCCTTTCATCATAGTTCTCAGGGATGACAACACAACTGTGGCCTCTTTTTGTAGTTGGTTTCAAGTATTACTGTGTAGTATTTACTTTACAATTTGGTGGGTTATTTGTTTGTCACTATAAATATTGTAAAAAAATTTCAAGTAACAATTTTTGTCTATTATATAGGGGGCTATTTTTGGTCAGCTTGATGGAATAGAGTCACGACCCGTGCGTATTTCCGCAGAGGCTGAAAGTTATGCAGACGTTTTGCAACTATCTATTGTGGATTTCCAAGAAGCTCTAGATAATGAGGTTATTGTTAATACACTATATTCCACACCTACATACTTAAAAAACAATTATTAAATGAGTTTGATCCTAATGTGCTGTTACTGTCAAGTAAAGAAATATCTGGATATCTGTTAAATTAAAAATATTTCATGAACGTGTGAATTCTGCCATCAAGCACTGAGGCAGCGCGAAGGACATTCCCAGATTTCTGAAAGAATTTTAGCCCTCAGAAACGACTGAAACCCTGGAATAGCAGTGGTGGATAGTGGGATGCATTGAAACTGTTTCTTAAATTTTGTAATTGGCTGAATTGGGAGACTTACTGTAGAGATGTATGAGAGTATAATTTCATCAAACCCGTTACACCGACTCCAAATACTTATTCAGAATCAATTTGAAGCTTGTGTTTATTATTAGTATAATTAATTATGTATATGTAGACTGTTACTTAACTTTATTTTTCACATTTTTTACGAGTTTTTGTGACAGTGAATTCGATTTTAGACCAGAAGTAACATTGAAAATGATGCTCAATCCAAACTAGATTTTATGAATATAACGGAATTTATAACTGAGGACCCTTATGACACTATTCAATACATCCTTCGCGGAAAAAAGTCAATAAAACTACCTGTAAGTAAAATGTGTTTGTTTTTAAGTGAAAACTTCTTTAGGCACGTTGGACACTTTTGGGATGGAGAAAAACCACTGAATCCGTGACCGTCATGATCAGAGACATATATAGGAATAATAATTATGTATATAATTAATATTATGTATATATTATGTATATAATTATGTATATAATTATTATTCATCAGTCTTATACGTGGTAGAGCCATGCTGCAGCTATATTAGTAGTATAGTTGTAGCACGAATGGGGCAGCTCTACCGGGGAAGGACCACGCTTTCACAGAATACCAGCGTAAAATAGCAGCTTAACACTGTTGTGTCTCGTAAGGTCAGTGTAGAGAACCGGAGACCCTTTTTACTGGAAAAGAGGCATCCCATCTTAGTCCTCACGGGTTACAACGCATCTGCATTTTGATTCGCAAACGAGGATAGATGCAGATGTCTATGGGCCACAGCAACCACTTACCATCAGGTGGACTGTGTGCTCGTTTGTCACCCAATCCTATTAAAAAAAACTTAATAATTAATATGCTAAGGCGTTGATTGCCATTTATTTACTTTAAGATCTAATATTGCAGTGTGGTGGCGGCGCAATAAATTCCATAACCCAAATTCGTTCTTTAGGTGTCGTAAGGAGTGACTACGGGATATGTCTGGCATGTCCCATATATGCCAGAAAGGTCTTAAGGCTTTCGTTAGGCGGCAGTATTACCATCTACTTTATGCTTGACATAAAGTACCAAATTCAGCGAAGGGAAGAAGTGATAGTCATATGATGGCATTACGACCATCTAGAACTTGGCTGCTAAGCTAGACGATTAAGGCAAACTAATACTAATAAGAAAAACTTCTCGTACTTTAACTCGAATAATTCATGGAATTATTGAAATTATATATATTACTTGGAAACATCTTACATTTTTAAAAGTTAGGATCTACGAGTATAACGTACTACTGTGTGGTATTTTTTTATATTAGCTTTGGTAGTTTCAAATTTCGTTGGAAAATATCTACATTTTATCTTTTTGAAATATCAGTAATGCGATTTCACGAAAAGGCTTATCTCCAATAATTCTTTTATATAAACCCACTAAGCTTTAATATCATTCGTATTACTGAAAAGATTTTTTTATAGGATAGGGTGACAAAGGAGCACACAGTCCACCTGATGGTAAGTGGTTGCTGTGACCCATAGACATCTACATTTATCCACAATAAAGAATCCCCGTCGCAATGCAAGATAATGAAATTAAATTCTTACCTACTATTTTCTTCTATTTTTATTTTCATTTATTGGTACAAAAAAATTAAGATATAGTCCAATATCACCATCAAAATCGCAATTACAGCCTGTTGTTAATCCTCATGATAGGTACAATATATTAATTTATTATCTATGATAACAGTGGATGCAAACGCATGTGGATGCACAAAATGGTACTTGGTATTCCCGCTGGCTTTTCATTACGTGGTTAATCGAGCCAGTTGTCACTTCAGTTCTGGTACTCTCTTTGGAAACTGTACCCGATGAATCAATGTACATACTATATTGGATATTACTTGTGTTAGATATTGTTCATTTTCTTCACTTCCTTTCTGATTTCTTTATGGTAAGTTTTTTCTTTTAATTTTTTTTTATAATATAAATGATCACTATTAGTCTGTACGAAATTCACTTTTGAAAGTTGCTTCCAAATATAAGTATTTTTGAATGTTTGTAACGTTTGATAAAAAAAACCTAGAAAAAAAAATGGGAATAATATTAATATTTGAGGATCGAAATACCAAACAAAACTCACCTTAGACGCTGTCCAGTTACCAGTCTGCATAATTTAAGAATTTGATATTTTTATTTATATCAATGGTTGCCTACTGTGCTGCCCTTTTTACGACCTCACAACGTGCTTTACATCACAAGATCTTACTGACATTTACACTAGTCGAATTTGATGGTACTGAAACTGCTGTCACATGAACTCATGCCACGCCCCAAAGCATATTTTAGGTATATAAAGCCATAAACGAAACCTTTGTCACTATTAAAATAAAATAAAATAAAATTGTAGTCTAGTATTTGTTTCTCAACTGGTCTCGCTTTTTGGTATAAGTACGTGTTGTAATAGACTTATCCTTAAGAAATATTACAAATTTTAGATGGAGTTAGTAGTTGTAAAAGGTGAATGCGTGATGAGGACTTTGAAGTATAGAAAGCTGTTGGATTGGGGTTGTTACGCAGATATAATTTCATTGGTTGTACCTTTAGTTACTTTTATATGGGGGAATTGGTTATATCAATTAGCAAAGCTGATAAGGCTTCGGCTTCTCTACGATTTTTATAACTATTTCTGCACGGGATTCCAGGTAATATATAACATTATGTTATCGAATTTTGTTTTAAATTTTTTTTTAAATTGTTGTTAAATTACCAGAATTTTTTTTTCGTAATGAAAAATTTAGCGTCAAATAAGGCTAGAAAAGAAGAAAAGCACTTAACAACGTAAGCATGAACTTGTTAAGAACGATCCAAAGGAATTGAATTTAAACTTATGTCGTAAACTGACGTGGCCAAACCCTTTGTTAAACTTCACGTCAAGCGATCTGGCTAAGCTTTCTTCGGATATTTAACCATATGTTGGCCTTTAACTAAAGGACCAATCCAATTAATAAAAATAAATCCAAAAAATTATCTGGCTGATAAAATAGTTTGCGATTTATTTGTAACAAATGTGGAGAAATTTTGTCAGTATCTATTTTGTATTTACAGTACTAAACATTTTTGTCAAAAAAATGATCAATGATTGCTGAATTCCGTAAAAAGTTTTATTTGGAGTTTTTTTCAAGATACCACGGTAGTGAAAGAGAAAAACTTTATCTCCTTTTAAAATCCGTCTAGATAACCCTTTTTAACCCAGTACTTCTTAAAAAGCAAACGTTTTACACCTGCAGCCTGTGGTTTAAGTATACTTGCGGATCTGTAAATGCTCTACGTATTCAGTACAATAATCGCTTTGGGATGCTGATGGGACTGTCTCGCTATTGCAATGCATCAGGTATCTTTGCTAAGGCTAACAAGGACAGAGTTAATCAATAGTGAGACAGTGCCAACGGACTCTTATGTACTGTATTGGGAAGGCTTGATTGCCCGGTTGTGCGGCACTGGAACACTGTGCATATGGGGTCCAGAGCTATTAGGTTTAATATAAAATAAGTATGCTTGTGTTTATTTCTATATGTACTAACATTCATTTTAAGTTTATTGTTATTACTAACAAAGTATGGAGTTTGACTCTGATATAAATTTATTATAATTATTAAGTGGCGAAGCTTGCGAAGTCACTTACTGATTTCACCATGTCTGTCCGTCTGTCCGTCTGTCCCACGATTATCTCGAGAACGGTTTTGAATTTTCAAATTCTGTTTTCAGCAATCGATTACTGATCACTCAGGCATCTGAACCTCCTATTTTGAAACTGATTGCTCAACGGCAATCGTTAGAAACCGCTACAAAGCTGATTGCTTCGCCACTTTGCTATGCTGTTAGCTTGCTAGGTATATTATTAAAGCATAGACTTTATCTCCTACGGACTGGACTATTATTTATTTGTAGGAAATAAGATGTACTTTTCTAGTATTACGTTGTTTTATGAATTTAATTTTTTCATAGAGCAGGTTTGGTTCTCTTTTACTAAAATTTATATCGGTGCTATTGATTCTACACGCTATGACCTGTGGTTGGATAATGGTTGCATGTAGAGGTGAAGTATTATTTTTCTCTTCTTCTTATATTTAAGAAACTACTTTTTTATGTTTTTTAATTACATATTTTTCTAAATATATGAGTTTTCGATACAGTTTATTTAATAATATCGAACACTATTATTTTTAAACTGTCATATTCTTTTGTTAATAAAACAATATTTTTAAGGAATTTCTGGTATTAATTATTAATTACCGACAATTGGAATGGCTACTACGTATTTAGTTTTGTTCAATATTTAGGTAATGCAACATGCCATTACAATGTCTTGTTTGTTTAAGCTGATTGACTAAATTTCAGAAGAAGAATTTCCTGTGAATGTTCCTGAAATACCACCTCATATTAATGCTACAATTGACTACAGTGAATGGATGCATCCAAGAGACAGAAAAGGAGGTTAATTAATTATTTATGTTAAAAAATATTCCTTCTATTCACAACAAATGTACTTATTATTTATCATAATAATCCACCGCTGTATACGATCTTTTCGTTTTGTAAGGCGAATTCGCCTTACTCGTCATGTTTGGCACGCGGATTGAGTTTAGCAGCACTAGACGTTTCGCAGCCCTTCGCTTGCCTGGGAATTTTTTGCCTGGAGTAATCTGATGATTTCTTTTATAAAACATAAGTGACAAAGGAACTTAAATTCCACCTAAAAGAAAGTACCTATTGTAAGTACATGGAGACCTAATTTCAAACAAAGAAAACTACGGGGGCGTTGTCACCTCGCAGGACTACGATGGATTGCCTCACAGCTTGTGTGTGTGTATATATATACACACACACATATATATATATATATACATATATATACATATATATATATATATATATATATATATATATATATATACACATATATTTACCCATCAGATTTGAACACAGAACTGCAAATATTGATATATGGCGGCAGAAATAAGTAAGAGGGTGCTGCTTACCCAGACGGATTCCTTACTATAATACCTACTATGGTAATACCTACTATGATAATACCTACTATAATTAATATAATCAGGTGTTACTTTGTGGAAGTCCATTATATTAAAATTGGTAAAAAATTACTTCGCGTACATCCATAGCGGTCAGCCACCGCAGAGTCTAGATCTGAAGATGCCTCGTGTAGAGGCGAAACACGTGTCGTATTGTCGTCAGTGGTGTATCTTTCCTAGTGTAGTGGTGTTGGGAGTAGTGGTGTTGGGAGTAGTGGTGTTGGGAGTAGTGGTGCTGGGACTAGTGGTGACGGTGATAGTGCACGCAATTGAGGGAGGGCGGGAGGTGCTCTTCAAACTAGGTAAGACACATAATTTTATTTTATCGAGCGAATGTACGCGAAGTAATTTTTTACCAACTTTAATACCTACTATGATAATACAGCATCTTTCGAAAGCCATTATAACTTTTTTGCTTTTCCATAGTCGTCTTTTATCCGACACTAACGGAAAGGAATTATGGAATTACGGACTAATGGATTCTTTCACGCCGCCACCACACGGTCCAATGTGTATAGATGTAAAATTGTTAAAATTTACAACTGTAAAATTACCATTACAGCAAATCAAAAGACGACGTCTGAATATAGGCCTCTCCCATAAATTGCCTCATATTATATATATATATATATATATATATATATATATATATATATATATATATATATATATATATTTCCCCCTGTCATATCTTACGACACCCACGGGACGGTTTGGGGTAATTAATATTTTTACCTGGCCAGATTGGTCGACAAATATAAAATTGTTTTGTAATAAATATAATTTTTATCGTTGTATATTTTAAACTAGGTTGTGCAACAGTGACGAAAACGTTTCAAGTTGAGGATAAAAACCAGTTCAGTTTTGTGGTTCCAAAAAATTGTAAGGATGATTACATTGTATCAATGACTTATATATTGGTCCTTTATACGCATACTGAAATGGACTCTGTAAGTACTAATTTCACTGCTATTGTTTTTAAGTTTGTTTTAAAAAGATGGTTTTTTTTGTGCCCAGAAGCAATTAGAAAGGGCTACCCCGATACGCGAGGAAGTGGAGAATGCTTTATGCATACTACGACAGCCGATCTTTCGTGGTTATGCGGTACTCACTGTGACTATCCTACGGGGAACCTAAGTGATACCCGCTAAACTCCACTTTGGGGACTGGCAATTAGCTGATTAAGCCTCTTTGCCGGATCGGAAGCGACCCTCTTTTGGGAGAAGAGGGCGCAGGCGACTACGAGCCGCTGAGGGAGAGCCTACTTAGGCAAATTTAAGAAGAATCGGCCTGAGCCGTCAGGAGGCAGTTCAGGTCGGTTGAAATTTTATTTGGCGGGTCCGAGAGTGAGTTCCTCGGCCTGCGGACTCGATAGCGAGAGGGGAGTGGGGCTGCATAAGTAGCTGCTTGACGAATAAAATGATTGGAAAGAGACTCTGAGGCTTTGAAGAAGTTCTCAGAGAGTGTTTTTAGAAATTGTTGTATTGTAGGGAGCTTTAAGTCCCGATGGAGGTCGGAAAAAGATGGTGCGTAATGATCTATTAAACACTACGCTTCTTAAATGAATCATTTATGTCATCTAACAGACGTATATTATATATATTCATAGTTATTTCTATGTGCTATTTATTAATATATACCTATATCAATATTTATATATTTGTATATATGTATGTAAGTATGGGAGATATTTGTTTAGTTTACGTATTTTATATATTTCTAAAATTTAAATATATCGTCGTTAATTATCATTGTTATTTTGTTTTTATTCTAAATGCTACACCTACGTCAAATTCTCACCACTCCATGGATTGACTGGTAGAAAATGTCTCAAGACATTAAGTCCGCTCTTTGTATTCTTTAATTTAAGGAATGCAGTAAACAGTAAAGAAGAAAAAGAGAGAGAGCCGTGGTAGCTCGGATGGTTCGCGCTCGTTGTAATATGTAACAGTATGCGAGCAAACCGGGTTCCAATGAAACTTTTAATTGCAATTTTAAGTACTGTTTACCACATGCTTGTGGTGAAGGAAAACATCGTGAGCAAACCTGCATATCTGAGAAATGAGAAAAAAAAAACGAATACCTGTGAAGTTCGCCAATACGCATTGGGGCAGCGCAGCGGATATTTCCTTGCCCTAAAACCCTCTCAGAAATGAGGTGAGGACTGTGCCCAGCAGTGAGACGTATATAGGCTGTAACTTTTTAACTTTTAATAAACACAGTATCTACTTACCATCAGATGGACTACGTGCTGGCTACCCTTACTTCTAAATATCACATTGCAACCTTGTGCAACTTTGTTATATGCAGCCGAAATGCAAAGTATTAAAATATTATTCACAGAACAACTATGCTAATAAAAATGTATAGTATAATAATCATTATATTTTTATTTCTTCTTCATAAGGTTGAATTCAGTAGGAAGCATACGGTAGGGCTTGTGGTGCACCGGACCGTCGGTATAATATCTTTTGAGCGGCAGCACCAAGTCCACTGCTGCACATAGGCTTCCCGCAAGCAATGCTACAAAGCACGGTCCTGAGCTACCTGCATATAATAACTTCCTCCATCTCTTACCAGGTTTGCACTCCATCTAGTGGGTGCCATCCCACAATTTATTTACCAGTACGAAGCTACCTTCGAGAATTTTTCTTCCGTTTCCATTTACACAGAACACTACTCAGGAATCTATTAAGAGGAAATGCGGGTGGTCTTTTCTCAATACAAACGCTCTCGTCTGATTTCTTTCTGGTTTATGACCTTCTATGTCCCTATGTATTCCTTTTTGATGATACATTATCTTTATAAGCACTTTGAGAAATAAACTTTACAAAATGCTCAAAATTTCCTATTTACACCGTTGTCAATAGAGGCCTAGTGTTCAAATTTGATGACTAATACTGAAAAAGGAAAAATATAGGGACATAGTCTATATCCTTTTTATTCAGTTTATGAAATATCTTTTAAATTGGTCCAACATTGGAGAAGGAAGTGGTAGACAGCCAAACCTCGAATTATGCCTTTTTACTTAGGCTATTCAGTCGGAGCTACAGTTGTCCTTATCGGACGCCAAGCGCTCGCAGAGCGAAAGCGATAGTTTCTTCAAATACCTGATTTTCAAGTCTCTCCTCTCAAGAGCGTGTGTTTGAAGTCCTTGTCGTAATAATAAGAAAAATAATAAAACTTATAAATTTCGCAGATTTTAACGTTAAATTTAAAGCAAGTTTCTTACAAAATTGTAATCAATTTTATTATTTACCTTTTGGATATATGGATTTTAAGCATTGCGATAAGTGCTGTGTACACAAAACTCAGTGAATTATATGATTATGACTATAACGTGGCGAAGTTGATTACTTATTTGAAACACACTGGACTGTCACCGACTTTGTTACAAACTGTGGAGAACTACACGAAACACTTATGGCAAAGGCAGAGAGGTGAATTGACTAGTCATAACTTTTTTAAATGGGCAAAGATTTCTTTTAGCTAAGTAATAATTTATTTTTAAAACTTACGTGCGAGTCGACATTTTCGCCACTACAATGGAGTAAATGCTCCAATTGTTTGCGCTTTTTTGTATTTAAATTAATTGGATTATTTATAAAACTATATGATGGCTTAGTTATCAACGGATCTAGTTCAACATTTTTTTGTGAAAGTTTATTCGGTAAGAAAAAATAACAAGCGAAATCTGTTGCCTCGCTAACCAAGGACATATCGTTTTTACATATTAAAAAAAACAGTATAATTTATAACGTTCTTCTTTTTTAAATTATGATAAAAACTAAGCCTTATACTATTTACAAATAAATGTTAAAATTTTTATTAATAACTTAGTACTGTCATTAACTAAGCTTAAAATTCTTGTAATGACAGTCACGAAAGTCGTCATATGGCGGATTCAAACTAATAACCGTTTAATTTCATATTTCGGTCCCTTTCTAATTATGCTTCTGTACTGGTTAATTAAATCGTAATTTCGGTCGATTTTTTTTTGTAATTTAATTCTTATTGTTAATTGAAGAATAATCCTGGCACTCAATTACAGGTAATTGGCTACCTGAGCTGGCACAAAATGCTCCCCAGTGTCTTCGAGAAGATATTTTTGGCGCCCTGTATATGTACCATTTGATGACACCGCCTCTCCTTCGAGACCTGCCTCATTATTTTATTCGGCAATTAGTAACGAGACTAAATCGGATTGTTATCTTTCCTGGTATAAAACATTTCATTTATATATTTTGAATTATTTGTAATACAATAATAATGTACTTCAGATCGTATTTCGGTCACGGCAAACATTCTCAACGGAGAATAGAAATTTCAGAAAGATTATAGTGCCCGAGTGTACGCGCAAGCACAGGTTTATTCTTACAGACCGATGGGACGGCCAGCCAGCCGACATGACTGCAGAGAGATCGGGCGCAGGATCAACGGCTTTATGTTTCTTCTTTCCTAGACACGGGGGTGAAACAACGCCAACTTCCCGTCTACGCCTGCTACTGAGAATTTCTTGACAGAAACACTCAATAACTAATTTTAGTTGACTAATTCCGGAATTCAAACCCAAAGATCAACTAGGCTTAATTCATCATACCATTGTATAACAGATATGTTATTATATCTGTGATAACCTTGTAGCTTAGCAGTTAGAACGGTAATCAGTAAGAAAGGAATCTGACCGCGAACTCTTATTGATTCTTAATCGAAAATAAATGTAGATGTCTATTGGCCACAGCATCCACTTACCTTAAATGAGCCGATATTAGTCAAGATATTATAAATGTTCCCCACCCACATCCATAACCACAAAGTATATACACATCATTTTTAACGCATTAATTTGTAACCATTTCTTTAAAAGTACTTAAGCAGATGTGGATATAATACAAATTTTTACCTGACAATCGTCTGTGGTAATGAGCATTTGAAGATCATACCGGTGGCCTTACGTGTTCATGTTGGCTTATATCTTTTTAACTATAATCTTGGTAGATCAAAAGAAGTGATAAGAAGCCTGGTACGGTTCAAGGCCTTTGGGTAATTGAATAATATGGATATAGGTTTTTGCATTTACCAGAGACCTCAAATAATAACGTTTGCTTCTATCATGATTTTGTAACTGAACATGTTATGAATCATCGGATTAGGACGTCGGTAACAAAGAAAAGTCTCTGTATTAGCTCGATCAATTATATTTGTAATTGTACTCGCTCTCTGTATCATTCAGAAGGCAACTGATGACAGAAATATGTAAGAGGGTGGTTCGTACCTAGAAGAACTATTAGGTAGAGGAGGAGTCGAAACAATATAGAAAATGTACATTGTAGTCCTCCCTCCCTGGGCTGTAATCTAAATAGGCCAGTCCATCATCATTAATTTAATTATCTTCGTTTATTTCAAGGAAAAATGATCGTGCAAGAAGGTGACATATTTCCTTGTATGTATTTTATTCACGAAGGGGAAGTCGAAAAGTGGGTTACCGACAAAGGGTACGTTTTACGCCTATTATCTTTTTTATTTTCATTAATCTCCAGCTAATCTACTACTGAATGCATTTTCAAGAATGCAGAAGACATACTTCAAAGATCTACCCCATAATTACGTGCGACGGGGCTCGTAAACGTAGATCCGATAACCCTCGAACTGATAATGCTATTCCCCATTATTAGTCTCCGTGATTGGAGCTTGGCATATTCGAATGACAATAATCTGCAATCATTCGTTTGCCATATTTATTAAATTAATTAACCATGGTGTAGTCCATTCAGGTGAGGTTGACGTTCGTAGATGTCGATTAAAATAAGTAGAAAGCCCCGAAATTGGACGGAAAGACCAGTGGAGATTTTGCGCTAACGTGGTATAATCGCACTTGCATAATATTATGGTTGCAGCTATCAGGTCAGTAGGTTCAGCTCGAATGAAAAAAGGGACCGCACCCTCACAGAAAATAAACGTAAAATAGTAACATAATGAGTGTCGAGAACGGGAGACCCTTTTTACTGATAATAGGTTTTTCCCACTTTAGTTCTCAGGGGTGGCTGACGCCATGCATTTTTAATCGCGATTATATGTTTCTATGGATCACAGCATCCACTTCCAATCAAATGGAGTGTGTGCCTGTTTTTTCTTATGTTTCTAAAAATAAGACAAATTATGCCACTATTACTATAATGAATAAAAACCTTTCGCCCGATTGGTAGATAATAACCTAGTGGCGTTGTAAAAATATCCACTACCCCTTACTATCCCGTGGGTGTCGTAAAATGCGTCAGAGAAAAACAAGCCAGATGATGATGATGGCCAGCAGCGTCTTCCCAATAACAACAAAAAAAAAACAAGAAATTGCGGTAACCAACCTTCTTGCCAAGCGTGGCAACTATGGCAAATATCCCCATCATGAAGCAGTCTGTGGGGAGGCCTATGCTTAGATGTGGGCTATTGATAGTCCGTAACAAATTAATGAATATCAAAAGCGATTAACCTTTGTTGTGCTATTTACAAGTTTTAAGATTTTTTTTCAAGTAAGTGTAATAATTGAATCTGAACGTCAATTAATGTTATTAATTGGTTGGCTTGTCGGTTAATGTTGGTTGATGTAAGGTTCAAAAGCCACAAACATTTGTATGTATACCACCATTGGTAGTTAAATACAAGGAATTAGCTATAGCAATATAAATAACATGCGTTTGTTAAATAAATAAGAATAAAAATTGAATTTGAAAGTCAAATATCCACAATTCACATCTTTATTACTGCTAAAACTGGGTGTAGCCTTGTCGGTTAATGTTGGTTGATGTAAAGTTCAAAAGCCACAAACATTTGTATGTATACCACCATTGGTAGTTAAATAAAAGGAATTAGCTATAGCAATATAAATAACATGCGTTTGTTAAATAAATAAGTGTAAAAATTGAATCTGAACGTCAATATTCCACAATGGACATCTTGAGAACTGTTAAAACTCGGTGTAGGTAAATGTCAGTTGATACTCGTATAGAATAGGATAGAATAGAATAGAATAGAATAGAATAGAATATTTTTTATTCAATATACATTACATGTGTAATTCTTATTGAAAGTCATTTTTTACTTTACCACTGGTTCGAAAAAAACCCTCTGTCCTGGGAAGAACCAGCAAGAAACCCAGCGGGACTTTTTTTTAAATAAATTTTACAATATAAATGATTACGAACTATTTACAAAGTTTATTTTAGAAACTCCTTGGAAGCGATCACCTCATTCCCAGGGGTTATTATCAACCATGTATACATTTATACTATAATAACCCTTTTTATACAGTTTCAGCTTAATAAAACATTTAAACTTGGTAATAGAGAGAACCTGTACACTTTCCGGGACCTTGTTGTAATAGCGTATACATTGCCCCAAGAATGAATTACTGACTCTGTGGAGTCGAGAAACTGGTATCACTAGCTTGTGTTTGTTCCTAGTGTTTACAGAATGTATATCACTTCTTTTACTAAAACTATCTTTGTTTTTGTGAACATACATTAAATTTTCGTAAATATACTGAGAGGCCAAAGTTAATATATTAATTTCTTTAAATTTATCTCTAAGAGACTCTCTCGGTTTTAGATTGTAAATAGCTCTAATGGCCCTCTTCTGTAAAACAAAAATAGTTTCTGAATCAGCCGCATTTCCCCATAGCAAAATCCCATAAGACATTATGCTATGAAAATAACTAAAATAAACTAATCTAGCTGTCTCGACACTGGTGAGACCTCTAATCTTTTTTACAGCATAGGCTGCAGAACTTAGTCTGCTTGCTAATTTGGATATATGGGGGCCCCACTGGAGCTTTGTGTAAAGAGTGATGCCAAGAAAAACAGTGGATACAACAGGGCTCAATTCCTCCCCATTTAAAAACACATTGGTATTCAGATTTTTAACATTCGTTGTTGTAAATTTAACACAATTAGTTTTATTTCCGTTCAATTCAGATTATTAACGTTAAACCAATGTACTAATTTTGATATAGCATTATTCACTTCGTCACATTTAAATGATTGACGTTTAAGTTTAAAAATCAAGGAAGTATCATCAGCAAATAATACTATATCATGACTATCCCCTACAAGGTGAGGTAAGTCATTAATATACACCAGAAACAGGAATGGGCCGAGAATCGAGCCCTGAGGTACACCCATTAGTACAGGTGACCCGGAAGAACTTTTACCATTGATAATAACCTTCTGTTTTCTATTACTTAAATATGACATAATAAGTTTAAGCGCTGTGTTCTTGACACCATAGTACTGTAGCTTCCTGATTAATGTCTCATGGTGAACACAGTCGAAGGCCTTGGAAAGGTCACAAAATATACCCAAAGCATCCTCTGAATTCTCCCATGCACAAAAAATATGTTTAATAAGCTCAACTCCAGCGTCAGTTGTCGAGCGACCCCTTGTAAAACCGAATTGATTATTATTTAGCAATTTATTAATATTAAAGAAACTTAACATCTGATCTAAAATAATTTTTTCAAAAATTTTACTTAATGTTGGTAGTACAGAAATTGGTCTAAAATTGGCGGGGTCTAATGTACTACCAGATTTAAATATAGGTATGACTTTACTATGTTTCATTAAATCAGGAAACACACCAGATTCGACGCTTATATTAAATATAGTGGCTAGATAAGGTGCTAATGTATCTATTATAGATAAAATAACTTTAACGGAAATCCCCCATAAGTGTGCCGTTTTCTTAACATCAATAGTTTTAAAATATTTAACGATATCTTTTGGCAGTACCCTATGGAATTTAAAAGTATTTGAACAAGCTTTTACATTTTGTTTGAGCAATGATTCGGCGACAGTAGGAGAAGAATTTAATGATTTTGTTGTCAAAAAAGGAACATCAGTAAAATGTTTCTCAAAAGCCATAGCAACTTCTTGATCAGATCGCGTTAAATTATTGTTAATATTCAATTGAAAATCCGAGTTGCGCGGTTTGACCTTGCCCGTTTCACTATTTATTATTCTCCAGGTCATTTTAATTTTGTCGGATGCAGTTTTAATTTTGTTGCTTAAATGTAAAGCCTTAGCAGTGGAGCACACTTCTTTAAATATTTTAGAATATGTTTTTACATAATCTCTAAATATAACACTACTATTATTATTATAAGGTTCAAAAGCCACAAACACATTCATGTACATAATAGAAAGTGTCTAGTTTACCAGCAGCGGTCGTTAAATAAAAGGAATTAGCTATAGCAATATGAATAACATGCGTTTATAAAATAAATATTATCTTCTCATAAGGTCTCCCGCAGTAGACTGTTTGTGCTTTGGAAAGCCTAATTTTGAATATCAATATTTATTTTGAAATTACTTTTCAAATTATACTCGATGAATTTTTGTTATTTATTACTTAGATGATATAGGCGAAAGGTCATAACTACTTAGACAATCTCTCATTCAGAAAAGAAGCATCACCATTTCCGTTTAATAAATTATTAAATTTTAATTTTTCAGCGGCGACAAAAAAATGATATCCCTTTTAAGTACAAACGATTATTTTGGATTTATACCAGGTCTCTTCCCAAACTCTCCATTTCAATTCACCTATATATCACGGACGGTAATACCATTTTTATTACTTAGAAAATATGTTTCTAACAGCTTTATAAAGATTTCTTATATTTACGTGAAGACTACACATTATGTGAAACTAATTTTTACGGATTGTATCGCGTTTAATTTAACCCCGTGACCATTCCCAACGTTTCCAAAGTACCTGAAACGTTGGGAATTAAAAAAAGTGAAATTAACCGCGATACAATCCGTAAAAATTGGTTTCATTTAACAGGTTCATAAAGTTGAACTATTCATAATACAATATTACAGGGAAATTATTGCTTAGTATTGTGGCTTTTTAGTTTTAAGGATAAAGTTGTGTTGAAATAAATCTTGTTCTACACTTGTAAATCCCCTGTCTATTACAATAGTAATATCAGGCTTAGGTTGACTTAGCGGTCAGCCACCAAAGAGTCTATTTTACCTGATGATGATGTCTCCTTTAGAGGCGAAAAAAGTGTCGTATTATCGACGGTGTTGTCTTTCCTAATGTAGTAATGTTGGGAGAAGTGGTGTTGGGATTATTGGTGACGGGGATAGTGTACGCAATTGCGAGAAGATGGAGGTACTAATTTTTAACATCTTTAACCGTTGTCTATTGCTTACATATCACTTTTCAAATCAACAGACTTCTTATCCTCTGCTGCATTAGGGCCTGTACCTGTTGTTTGTATCATGAGTGCCAATTTTGTATAATTATAGGAATTTAGCTAATTGATTATGGAATACCTACTACCAGCTCTAAATGTAACTGTCGTTTCCTTCATCACTATCATTAGCCCGTAACAGTCCTCTGCTACAGAATGAGCCTCCCAAATTCTACGAAGGATTTGATAATCGTCACGAAAATTGGCGCAGAGTGGTGATGGCATAACTAGATACCACCTTTACTTTAGTATCCACAAGCTGTGATCTGTGTATGTTCATACGGCGTATTTTCGGAAACCGCGACATACTTCTCATAGTCGCTCCATTCGACACCCGCAGGACAAAATGGAGTAAGTAATGAATTATTTTAAGTGCGATTAGTTGCGTCGTAAAGAAACCACTATCACTTATGTTCACATGTGAGTCGTAAGAGACGATAGAGGATATATGAAACATGACATGGGCAGAAATATCTTCCTGATGCACCTTGAAAGTAGTAAAAATGTTACATGGCTCTACTTAGGAAGCGGTTGCCAACCAGCCTGTCACTTGTGGCAACTTTGTTAATCATGAGATAATGTAAGGGGGAGGTGTATGTTCTACAGTAGACTCGTGATGGGCAGCAGTGATGAATGAAGGAATGAAAGAGCGTAAAAGCACCACAAGACTTAATTTTTTTCTTAATTGTCCCTAATTATTTTTGCAATAATTCGATTGATTTAAAAATGGATGCAATACGAATTAGTGGTAGTTATCATGTTTCCTGAGGTTAATTAATTTTTGTTTTAACTCCAGGTCGTTGATGTAGTTTTCTTGAGATTTCAAGACTGGCAAGATCTTCTGCAAGGGTACCCTGAAGTCAAATATAGTCTATACACTGCGGCGAAACAATTGAAAAAGGAAATGATGGGAAAAAATTAGTCTTGTCAAATAGTTTATAATTGAGATAATATTGTTATAATAACTATACTATGGCTTGAACTTAGGAAACGAGTTCAATAATTATATTGTCAAAACATGAATTTTCTTTTATTTCTTTACCAACCAGGTAGTTCAAAAGTTATCTATATCATAATATATCACTGTGAACATATCATACATCACTGTGAAAAAAGTGCCTGTTATCTTCCACTCAAAAACTACTGAATATACTTTAAAGACACTTAACAATAATTGTTCGCGCAAAACTCTGTTGTCGGAATCGACACCAGATGTCACTCGGCTCGGCGCGATTCCGGTCTGAAGTTCTTCCGAGCGTCACAGTGGCGCGCGGGTCGCAAGCGGATCAATCATCTGCCAGATGTGCTAATGTTTGCACGCTGTTAATTTTGTGCGGGAACCGCGGAATAGTTAGGGCGTCTAGTAAATATCCTGTCTAGGAATTATAACGCGCATTCCCTGTTTGGATAGCCTTTCCCGGGACTTATTGGGTCCGACTCAGAATCTGTATAAGTGCATTCGACAATATAAGCTAGTGCGGCCTCGGTATTTAGAACTGTTGCCACGCGAAACGGTAGTGACCTTTGACCTAGAAACTCCGGGCGTGTTTGTGCGGTAACCTTATACCCCGCGATAGTTAGTGGCTTCTGTAAGCTAGTTAATCGTACGATAGAGTTAAGTGACTGTCATCGTGGTGAACCAAGAAAGTGACTGTGGATAACCTCGAAAGGCCCCCTCAAATTGGAGCGGTGTCGACGCTCGGGCTGCTGCCGACGGCTAAGGTCCAGGTTTAATCACCATCAGTCACACCCAGATACACACCACATCACCATTCTTTCCCTTGCACTACACAACTACATGCGACCTGACCGACTCCGGAGGGACCAGTCGTCTTGGATCGAGGTAAGTGAACTCCGCCAAATTCCTTCCGGTCGACTGGCCGTAGTATAACGCTCCCCCATATATTTTAGTGTAATTAGAGAGATTCCACGTGGCCTTAGGAGGCCCGACCTACGTTTGCTCGGGAAGTCTTCTGCTGATGGGCCCCGGGGGATTGGATCCTTTAAGGGAGCAACCGTAGGCCGTAACATTTGGTAGCAGAGCGTGGTTCCGGGTTCGATTCCCGGTCGATCCCGACTATAGTGTTTGATAAACATTAAACAATTTTGGTGGCAGGGAGCGTTGGTGTGATTGGTTTAATTTGCATCTACAATCACGCCCGTCCGTAATACGTAAAAATATTTTTTTTGTACGTAATAATAGAATTATTTTCCTTTGTTGCTTTGTTGCTTGCCTTTTTTTTGGTTAGAGGGTAATTTGAAAAGCCGCGCCCTAGGTTGTGCAAGCGGGAGATTTTCTAGAGATATACGTCATGTAGGTAGATGGTTATTTTTACGTAATCGGTTAATTATCGTTGTCGGAGAGTTGTAGTGGATTGCTTGTCGAAGGTTCGATTTCCGAGCTAGGCATTTTTTGTTGATCGACCGTGATGTGTATCTTCGTTTATACTGTAAGTTGTATTTGAACTAAATAGTAGTAGTTTGTATTTGCGCAATTTGAATTTAACTTGATTCGATCGCACTAGTATTTGTTATTTGTTAATTTGATTTGTGTCTTTTTTGTGCTAACTTGTATTTGGTTGATACGTAGCAAGTAGTTCGTATTTGTGTAATTTCTATTCAACGCGATTTGATAGGAACTGCATTTATTAACTGTTAATTTTTTGTTGTATTTTTTATTTGTTATCTTTGTAAACTGTGCTCAAGCCGCGTCGTAATTTGCATTTAATAGTGATGACATCGCCCAAGCTACTGATCCGTTGTTTGCGGACTGAGCTACGCTGGGCCACAAGCGCCCATGCTTTGATAGGTCGACCGGATAGGGTCCATAACTTGATGAAGCAGTTCGAGCAGGTGGATGCTCGAAGGGCCGCAGTGGAGGAGGCTTACGCTGAACTCGAGGATTCGGATGTGGAGAAGGGAGTCCTGGACTCCTGCTTCGCGGACTATGAGCAGTTCTTGTGGCTCACGGACGAGTTGATCGAGGCTGAAGGCAGGTATGCCGAGGAGGCTCGTGAAGCTCGGATGAGTGACTTGTCCGAGTCCTCTCTGAAGCGGCTTCAGCCGGAGCTGTTGGGACGACTCCCAACTCTGGACCTGCCAAAGTTCTCCGGGGTCCTTTCCGAATGGCTGACCTTCGTTGGTCTTTTCGACAGCCTAGTGGACTCCCGGAGTGACTTGACCCCGAGCCAAAAGATGGTGTACCTCCTGGCCTCACTGGAGGGGGAGGCCCTGGGCGTCGTCGGCCACTTGAGATTGTCGGACGACGCCTACCAGACTGCTCGGGACCTCCTAGCCATAAGATACGCCAACGTCCGGCGAATTGCGGACGAACAGGTTAAGCAGCTTCTAAGCCTCCCGCTGCTTAGTGACCGGGCCAGACTGCGTCCGGACCTGTTGGATCCAGTCTTGGTGGCCTGTAATACTTTGAGGCGGCTGGGTTTACCAGTGGGCGAATGGGCTTTTTTGTTGCTCCGCATCGTGCTGTCCCGTCTACCTCTCGACCTGCGAATCCATTTTGAGGAGAGGTACGGCGGGGACGAGGCCTCCTATATTCCGCCCTTCTATGACCTGCTGCGGTTTTTGGAGGAGCAGTGCCGGCAGATCGAGAACGCGGCGGGCACCGTTGACGACTTGCGAGACGTGCCCAGTGAGAGGCTGAACCCGCCAGGCAAGTCGTCGTCAACCCCCCCCTGCTCCTATTGTCGAGCATCTGATCACCGGGTAACGTCGTGCCCGAAATTATTAGGTAAGCCGGTTCCAGCGAGGCGAACTATCGCCAAGGAGCGCCACTGGTGCTGGTCATGTCTGGGAGGGCACCTCCAGCGAGACTGTCCGCATCGACGGCCCTGTCTGCATTGCCAGGGCAATCACCATGCCGTTTTGTGCCTGGGTGCGAACGGCATCTCCTCTCGGGGCTCTGCCAGGCCCTCGACCCCCACGGGCGGGGGCGCTCAGCCACGCCCTCTGCAGGGTGACTCTCGGCGCCCGCCGTCCAGCCACCAGGCCCCTAAGTTTGAAAGGAGTCCCTCCCCCGACCAGTCGGGGGGTAATTCCCCCAGGGGCGGGGGTGTCATCACCCCCCCTCAGCGTGTGGAGAGGAACTTCACGGCCACTCATCGGTCCGCTGGACCCTTCTCACTTCCGTTAGCTGAGTGGCCGCGACTGGTGTACCACTGTTCCCCATTTGATGGAGGCGGCCCTGTCTAACTGCTGCCTTAGTTCCCACCACGGCCGCCTCCACTGAGCCTTAAGCCGTCAACAGTCCACTTGTCAAAATGTTCTGTTGCCGACGGCCTCAGTGAAGGCGTACAACCCGAGTGGCAACTGTTAAAGGTTGTGCTCTATTTATCTCGGGTTCACGCCATGTGGCCTCCCCTTGGTGGTGGGAAGATTAGGGCCCCCCTGTAGCGTTGAATCACGCTGTCAAGGGGTATTAGATTTGGTTTGGTCGAGCACTTAGTCAAAAAAAATACTTGAATTAAAATTAAAAATTGCTTTGGGCTTTCCGCGAAATTCTCCTATTTGTAGCGGTTTAAATTAAAAGAATTGAATTTAATCTACTCCTTTAAATGCTACTGCATGTGTTTTGTACATATATTTAATCACTGTATTTGATTGTTGCGTTTGTTTGCTGAAAGGAAAATTTGAATTCATCTGAAATGGAATGGCGCACTATTTGAAAAATTATGTTTATGTTTATGATAGTGTTTAATCATTTTTGTTTTCTAAGAAGTAGGGCTGTCCCTTACGTTATTGTTTTGTTTAATTTGCAAGTTGACCTATGCGCATCGGTGATTAATTTGGTTGAATTAATTCTGTAGTTGAACATTGATGCTTTTGAAAAATTAGTTGAAATATGAGCATAGGACTACTTGTCTAACAGGCTAGCTAGTTTGGAGATTATCAGATTGAAATCAGCTGCCGCACTATTTTAGTAAATGATAATATGGTGGGTGGCCTGGCTAGGCCTACTTGTTGAAAATTCATACTAGGGACTATCTGTGCGTTTCGTTCGGCTCTCCACAGACGACGTTCATGTGGAATTTGTGGGTGCTCTCTGCACTGAAGCTTAGGAGGCCGCTCGAGGCCGCTTCGTGTCGCGTCACTGTTTGCAGAGCTGATCCGGTCGGATTGCGGAACTAATCATAGGGGCACAGATGGTGTTTGAAAGAGGTCGTCGGACTTCTGTCCAGTACAGGACTTATTAAAGTGCTGCGATGCCCAGGAGGGGCATCCAGTGGAGGCTGACCCTCCGGCTTGCCACATTAGGGATATCTTTGAGGCGTTGATTAGGGTTGCAAGACCTAATGGATTGCCTAAGGTGGCCTAGTTTGGTTGTAGATTCGGTCTTGCAACTTGCAGTCTCGACCTTGTCCCGCTGACCGGTTTGCTCGCGGACCTAAATCCTTATGTCCGGGACGGGGGTTTGTTCGCGCAAAACTCTGTTGTCGGAATCGACACCAGATGTCACTCGGCTCGGCGCGATTCCGGTCTGAAGTTCTTCCGAGCGTCACAGTGGCGCGCGGGTCGCAAGCGGATCAATCATCTGCCAGATGTGCTAATGTTTGCACGCTGTTAATTTTGTGCGGGAACCGCGGAATAGTTAGGGCGTCTAGTAAATATCCTGTCTAGGAATTATAACGCGCATTCCCTGTTTGGATAGCCTTTCCCGGGACTTATTGGGTCCGACTCAGAATCTGTATAAGTGCATTCGACAATATAAGCTAGTGCGGCCTCGGTATTTAGAACTGTTGCCACGCGAAACGGTAGTGACCTTTGACCTAGAAACTCCGGGCGTGTTTGTGCGGTAACCTTATACCCCGCGATAGTTAGTGGCTTCTGTAAGCTAGTTAATCGTACGATAGAGTTAAGTGACTGTCATCGTGGTGAACCAAGAAAGTGACTGTGGATAACCTCGAA